AAATTTCCGGCGGGTCGGGGCCGCGAAAACAATAAAAAAGCTTTGGGCCGTTTAGCGACGAGAGAGCCCCTGCTAAAACCCATTAGTAGAGGTTCCGAGTGGCCGCGTTTTTTAGCAAGGCCCAACCCCTAGATTTGGCGCCCGGATGGCCGATCCGCTATCGTGCCGCGCAAGCAGTTTATCAGCGGCCGGACGGCCGCGAAAACACGGGCGCGGAGCTTAGTAAAAGCTTTTGCTAAAGCTTTAATTAAGAGCTCTTGCTAGGCGCCCTCACTAGAGCCTTTGCCAAGGGCTCTTACTAGAGGCTTTTACTAGAAGCCCTTACTAGAGGCCCTTACTAGGGGCCCTTGCTACAAGCAAATAGTAGAGGTTCCGAGTAGCCGCGTTTTTTAGCTTGCGGCGGACCCCAAAAAGCACCACCCCCTAGATTTGGCGCCCGGATGGCCGATCCGATATCGCGCCGCACAAGCAGTTTATCAGCGGCCGACGGCCGCGAAGTTACGATTTTTCGGGCGCAAAGCCTTGTAGAAAAGGAAATTCGGAGCGCGTCGCTAAACGGCCAAGCGCTGTCATTGTTTTTGAAGGCCACCAGAGCAAGGAAATTTCGCTTCGTCGCTAAACGGCCTGCGACCGGCACGCATTCCCCGCCCATCGCAAAGGCTTCTAAGGAAAGGCAGCTCAAAGAAGGCGAAAGCCGCAGGCCGTTTAGCGACGATCGAAAATTTCCGGCCGCGCGAGACGTTTAGCGACGGGCTGAAAGCCGAGAAAGGAAATTCGGAGCGCGCCGCTAAACGGCCCAGCGCTTGCTTCGCTTCTGGGAGCCCCCAGCGCCTGGAAATTTTGCTGCGTCGCTAAACGGCTTGCGACCGGCGAAGATTTCGCAGCCATCAAGAAGCTTTCTTTTGAAAGGCAGTTTGAAAAGAACGAAAGCCGCAGGCCGTTTAGCGACGACCGAAAATTTCCGGCCGCGCAAGACCTTGGAAACAATTGAAGTCTTGGGCCGTTTAGCGACGGGTGCAAAAAGCCTTTTAGGTTGCGGCCGACGCGGCCAGAGCGGCGCCCTTGCTCGGGGCTTTTACTAGGCCTTCACCTCACCAAGGTCCTCTGCTAAGCACCTTATTAGGGGCCTTACTAGGGGCATTACTGGGAGCCTTACGAGGGGCCCGTGCCAGGCCTTAGTAGGGGCTTCCGAGTAGCGGCGGAGACCGACCCCAACCTCTGGACATGGCGCCCGGATGGCCGATCCGATATCGCGCCGCGCAAGCAATTTATCAGCGGCCGGACGGCCGGAAAACACGATTTTTCGGGCGCGGAGCTTTTTAGTAGATGTTTTTGCTTTCATTAAAAGCTCTTGCTAGGCGCCTTTACTAGAGCCTTTGCTAGGGGCCCTTACTAAGCCCTTACTAGAAGCCCTTACTAGAGGCTTTTACTAGAGGCCTTTACTAGAGGCCCTTACTAGGGGCCCTTGCTAAGGGCCATTGGTAGGGGTTCCACGTAGCCGCGTTTTTTAGCTTGCGGCGCAGCCCAAAAGGCCGAACCCCTAGATTTGGCGCCCGGATGGCCGATCCGATATCGCGCCGCACAAGCAGTTTATCAGCGGCCGGACGGCCGCGAAAACACGATTTTTCGGGCGCGGAGCGTTGTAGTAGAAGCTTTTGCTAAAGCTTTCATTAAGAGCTTTTGCTAAGGGCCCTAGTTCAAATTCCGAGTAGCCGCTTTTCTTAGCTTGCAAGGAGGCTTCAAAGCCGAGAAAAGGAAATTCGGAGCGCGTCGCTAAACGGCCTAGCGCTGTCATTTTTTTTGAAAGCCACCAGCGCAAGGAAATTTTGCTTCGTCGCTAAACGGCCTGCGACCGGCACGCCCTCCACGCCCATCAAAAAGGCTTCTAAGGAAAGGCAGCTCGAAGAGAGCGAAAGCCGCAGGCCGTTTAGCGACGATCAAAAATTTCCGGCGACTCGGGGCCTCGGAAACAAGGAGAAGTCTTGGGCCGTTTAGCGACGGCTGCAAAAACCCCTTAAGTGTATGGCCGACATACTAATTCCGCCGAGCCCTGGTTTGGAGATGTGAGCCATGCAGACCCTGTGGTTTTGGATCAGTGTTTCTGAATTAGGTGTTTTTCACGTATGTTTTGTAGGGCAAACGGGGAAACCGAAGTTTCGATCCAATGGCCACAACCAGGTCCAAATGGGTTGCGTGTGGTTTCCTTTTGTACCTTGACAAATACCCATGTCCCTTGAGATACAGCTGAGAGGCTTTCGCCTCCAAAACCCAGCCTTGTTGGCACAGATTCTTTCCACGCTTGCCCAAAAATAATGGAACCCGCTATATAAGCCTCCACGGTCGAAATGACTTGTTCCCCCAAAAGGACATAGAACACTTAGCAAGTGCCCTGTTTGTTGCGGTCTCCCGCATCATCCCAAATGGAGCCTGGACCACTCGTACACCAGAAAATGTGGGTTCAGATTCGTTCTTATGTTTCGCCAACCTTCACACACTGTGGATGGACGAAATCCCGCAACAGTTCGTTGGAATGAAAACCTATATTGGGATTAACCACTTCCCACCCACCCACCCACCAGCCAACAAAACCAACCTGACAACCCAGCAAGCCACCTACCTACCCAACCCACCAAGCCGTATGTTTTGTAGGGCAAACGGGGAAACCGAAGTTTCGTTTTTGAAGCCATTTTGGCCCAATTTTGGTTGTGTAGCAGACGAGCTCATGACGACAGAGAAGAGGGAGCGCTCCCCGCCGGCGGCGCAGGAGCTGCAACGGCTTGGGGTTGCACGTATTTTCCATGCTCCAACAGTTGGATCAATTCACATGATTTTTGTTGGGTTTTGACCCAGCTTGCAGACAGACTGAGAAGACTACGAACCAAAACAAGAGGCTCCAGCGGTTGGACCACTTCACAGGAATTTGGTTTTGACGGATTGTCCATGCTCCAGTTGGATCAATGAATCAATTCACATTGAAATTCACATGAATGTTTGTTTGGTTTGACCCAGCTTGCAGGGCGGATTACGGACTAACCAAAACAAGGGTTCCAACGGTTGGACCACTTCACATGATTTTGGTTTTGACGGATTGTCCATGCTCCAACAGTTGGATCAATTCACATGATTTTTGTTTGGTTTTGACCCAGCTTGCAGGGCGGATTGGCGGATTACGGACAGAGGCTCCAACGGTTGGACTCACCACTTCACATGATTTTGGTTTTGACGGATTGTCCATGCTCCAACCAAGAATTACGGACTAACCAAAACAAGGGTTCCAACGGTTGGACCGCTTCCGCTTCACATGATTTTGGTTTCGACGGATTGTCTATGCTCCAACAGTTGGATCGATTCACATGATGTTTGTTTGGTTTTGGCCCAGCCTGCAGGGCGGATTACGGACTAAGAAGATTGCAAACCAAAACAACGGTTGGACCACTTCACATGATTCAGGTTTTGACCCAGTGCGAGTTACGGATTAAGAAGATTACACACCAACACAAGGATCATTTTGGCGCCGATCATTTTGGCAGGATCATGATCAGGATCAGACACCGACAGAGGCTCCGTCGCCGTCGGCGTCGCCCTGCGGCTCGGGCTCCAGCCCTTCAGGCCCTTCAGAGGACGGATTCGGTTTGCGTTCACCTTGCTTTGACGCAAATAAAGCGCTAAACAAGCTATGGTTGGCCGGAGCCAGGGTTCGGTTCGGTTCGGGTTCAGCTTTGATTTCAAGGTCCGTTCCTGGGATCGTGTTTTGTGGAATGGCGGATTGCGGATCATATTGGACCAGGGCTTCATGGATTTGCTAGCTCCCGCACACGGTCGAGGTCATCTGAAATAACATTGCAATCATGGATACTGGAATCAGATTTGTGTTCAGCCCTCAATCCTCAATGTCAGGCTCAGGTGTTGGGTCTGTTGTGTGTTTGTGGGTTTGTGTGATGTCAACAACATGTGGGTTTCAGAGTTTCAGACTGGACACAGGTGCTTGTTTGGAAACATGTTTGCGTTGTTTTGCCCGCACGCCAAAGGTCTGACTATGTATGTATGTCTTAAGTTGATGATTCTGGTGATTCTGGTGATTCTGGTGATGCAGTTCGCTGCCCTGCGTGCCACTTGCCACTGGTGGGACACACCTGTGTTGACAGGGTCACTCAACTCTTGATGCCCAGTACACGTCAAAGTGCAGCCCTTTCTGCAAGATGATTTGATATGATAACTTGGGAAGTGGTAAGTGGTACGGGCCACGTCTTGGCTCGAACTCCAGACGCGGCTTACCCGTAGATGGTGGAGGCATCCACATACTGACCAAAGAGAATTACAGTTACATCATCATGGTTGATGTTTGGCCGACCCAAAGCGAATCGCTTTTTGCTGGGCAATGGATGAGTCTCCGCTACGGCCGGCGGCGGGGCTGGAGGTGGTAAGGCCGTTCCCGACAGCGGCGCCGGCCCATGGCGGGCGCGATCTGGGCGCAGTGGCCCTCGCCGTTTCCCGCGCCATTGATGCCATCAAGGCAGGGAAGCAGGATGACGCCTTGGAGGCTGTGCGGGATTTGAACGGCTTCCTCGAGGCGACTTGCCTGTTTGGGAAAGAACATCAGGGCCAAGAAATCTTAAAACACACTTATTGGAGTTCTTCTGAGGTGAACGCGATGACTGAGTCCAGACGAAGAGGAGGCGTGCGATTTCGCTCCGTCTACATGTTGGACGCGGTGTTGCTGGCTGACCGCGTGAAGGTCCTGGATGACTTGAACGCTGTCTTGCAGGAGCCGCTTGGACTGGACATGTGTCAAGTTCAAAGTTCGCGGGTACCGATACTACTACTACGTGTTGCTGCGCCCCATCTCAGGTCGCTTTCCATGTGCTTGCGGACAGAACTGGTGCAACACATCATGACTCAAGTGACTTGGCTATGCCTTGCGCAGCGCAGCTGCTGTGTTGCTGTCAGTCCGGTGTTGTTTGGAATGCGCCACGCGCCAATCATCAAGCTTGGCCACTGAGGGCGCCACAGCTCCGCGGAAGTCGAGCCTCTATTCATGGCGTGTGGACTTTGACTTGGCCACTATGATCTACGCAAGGATGACAAAGTTCACCATGAGTAAGAACTGGCGACTTCATGTCAGACTGGACGCAAGCCCTCAGTTCGGCAAGGATTACCTCATGGGCGAGGTTGACATCCTCAACTTGGACGGCGTTCAGAACTGGGCAGACATCCAGCAAGGAGGGTCCCTGACAACACGGCTACTGGTGTGTCAAACCCTCGGAGCGCGGGCGGCCGGTGTTGCGGTGAAGGCCAAGAAGCTCTTACACATGCTCAGCCTAGCGCCCCAGACGCAACGTAACTTTTGAACTCGAAGATGTTACAGTCATTGCTCAACAGACTTTGCCCAGGCAAATTGCATGTTCGTATTGCCAGCCTGTCAGGAGTCAGAGTCACTGAAAGGCACGCTGTCCCGATGCCGCTCAATGCTGTCCGACTGGGGCACAGAATCCAGGCTCTGGCAGACGCCGAGCAGCATTCTGGAAGATGAGCTTCCTTCGTGGAACACGCTGTTCGGCATGGCGCTGCCCATTCCGGACCACGACCACTCCCTCCACCACGTGTCTCGGCCTGATTGAGGACAGTCAGTCGTTTAACGTTTTCCATCCTCCAACTTGCTGGCAGATTATGGAGTGCCTGGAGCTACACTTTGGGTGGTCCGACTGGTTTCAGCCCCGCCTGCACGCCTTGTCGCTGTTCTTTGGCAACCTTGGCCGGTGCCAGCGCTTCGTCAATGTGTGCATTAGGCGCAACGGCCGCATTCAGGACAGGGCGTCTAACAACATACTTTTGTGCTTGGGAACTACAAGCCGTGGTTGGCAGGACCCTCGGCTCAAGAACTCCTTTATGGCACTGTTCAGAAGTACGTGTCCTTCTTTGATGAGCCATCGGTGGCAGTACGTGCAACTTGGCAACAATGGTTTCAGATTTGATTCCAGCACCGTCTTCATCGCAGCCGACGTGTCAGGTATGATGTCTTGCGATGGGTCCTCGGACGCAAGGACGCCTTTCGCTTTCTTCTTGCCGACTCTGCCTCCTTTACCGACTCAAAGGAAATGTCGCGCACCGAGCTGGACATGTTGCGTGAGGTTGCAGATGCCGATTCCCAGGTGGGCATGAGATTTTGGGCGACATGTGTGACCGTTGAAGGACTCAGCGACTGGGGTGTGTCGCTTTCTGTGTGGCTACACGGCTGCCAATGTCAACATGAAGATGACAAAGCCAGGTCCAAGTGCACCCTGAAGGGCCGCAAAGCTCTACTTCTCGCGTGCGGAGGGTGGCATGATTTCACCAGGTCGCTGCAAGCTTGCGAGTTGTCTGCGCGCGCCCGCTTACTGAACACGCAACTGCGTGACCGCTCAGATGAAGATCGGCAGTTTGCAACAGAATTGTGTACCGGTTTCCAAGACTGCAAGTCCATGATGCTGCTTCGGCTACGCCAGGCCTATTCATTCTGGGATGCGATGCCATTTTCAATCCTGCAGCTGGGCCAGCACCTTGTCCTTCCGTCAGTGCCTGAAGACGAGTCGCGCAGGGCTGGCAAGAGGCTACTCGCAGAGTACACCCAAGCACCGTCTAAGGCATCATTGGGGGTGACGAGTTGGTTCTTCTTTGGCCAAGCGACAAATCGTCGCCGGATTGAAGTGTGGTGTCAGGGCGGCCCGCTGCACCACAACCTTGCGCATGAACTGCTGGCATACGCGTCGTCGCTGGTCGTCATGCAGCAGTTGGAAAGCCGCCACCACCTGGTGAACATGGCAGTGTCGCATGGCAGGGCGCAGCTGCCTTGCGCGACAATTGCCGCACTTCGGCGCGTCATCAACAAGGACTTGCAGGAACCAGCGTTCAGGGACCTTTTGCCCACCTTGTTGGACAGTTTCAGCACTCTCCTTCCAGCGGAGATTTCTTGGAGCGGGAAGAAGGAGATGCTGGAGAAGATCTATGGCTATGGTCTGGATCAGCTACATCCTGACACAACCTTTGAGGATGCCGAATTCCAGAAGCACACAGATGCCATGGTGCAGGCCAAGACAAAATCTCCTGACTTGGGCCCCCTTGAGTCTGACCATTTGAAGAAAGTCCTCAACCGACAGGCCGTCTTTGCTATCCCCACCGAGCGTCCATCTTCAACGGAGCCGCAAGACTACATCGTCTTCAAGGTTATCTCGCTGAAGCCAAACTCCAGGATGTACCTGCAAAAAGTCTGTCAACTGTCAGTTGACGAATGGCATGACTCTATGGCTATCAGTGTGCTCGGCCGCGTGCGTTCCAAGCAATCCGACAGTGGCGCCACTCTTCCGGAGTTCACGACCTTTTCTTTGAGCGAGGTGCAGACATTATCGCTGAGATACATGTTCGACAAGTCAAGATGGCGCGGTCTTCATGTCTACACCAAGGCAACAAGTCAAACAAAAACTCGTCCGTCGAGCCAATCTCGGATTCAACCCCCTGCCCCAGGTGAGTCAGGTTTATGAGTTCGACGACCAGTGCATCGAAGATGACGACTGCGGCGGCGAACATGATGTCGCAGTTCCTCTTGACGCGCTGACATTGCCTCCTGGCTGAACCTGTGCGTGCGTTTGAAATGAAATGCGTGGCCGTCCTTCTCGTTATTGAAGCTAGAGCACTCACATTCAACTTGCTAAGGGACTCAGTCTACTCTTTGTGCACATGTGCGGCAAACAACAATGGGGTGCTGCCCATGGACGCTGATGCAAGCGCGGTCACGCGGCTCGTTGCACAGGGGCTGGCGCAAAGGTTCGACACGGGCGAGATTGTCCTCACACACGACGCCATGCGGTATGGCGTCGCCTGCTCTGCGGCCGTGCCTGAACGCACCACGCGCGAAGTCCGAACTGCTCTCGAGATGAAGAGGACGCTGACGGATTCTGGGTGGTCGTTCACACGTTCCGCACGAGGGGCAAGCGTTGCCGGGCTGCGGGGCGTGAGCGACAATCCGCGTGTGTACTACCAACTCTTGATGGCGCACAAGGATGCAATTGGCAAATATGAAGCTGCGGGGGTCTTCAGCCACGCTCAGTCGCAGCACTATTACAACACTGTGTGGGCGGCGATCGAGAAGCGTCCGGCGGAGATCGTGGAGATCCCATTCTCCAAGCCGGTTGACTTCTACGAGGGCTTGACTTCCTTCATTGAAGGCGCCATAGTTCTTCTGAGTTTCAGTTAACTCAACTGGTCAAAAACACATGTGTTGGTGTCTTGCCAACTCGCAGGCAAATCCGCGAAGGACCCCAGAGCTGAGTTGGCTGAGACTGAGACTGAGCCTGGGAAGAAGAAGCGGCGCCGAACCCGGCCGACACGCAGGCAGGCCCAATCACTTGTTCCCCGTGTGCCAGTGCAAACATGGGTTTTGCCGGGCAGGACAGCCGATGAAGCGCCACGCGCTCGTCAGCAGCAGCCTGAGCTGGTCGACCTTGCGGCGTCAAGCTCCTCAGACGTGGAGGTCTTGCCAGTGATGGCTGTTGCGCCAGCATGCGAAAAGGGGGCTGCGGTGGTGTACTGGGACACCATTCTGGAGGAGGATGCGGAAGCAGGTACAACAGGGCAGGACAATGACGGTGCCAGCTCAGAGGCGGAGCCTGGTCCTGCTGTGCCGGCCGCCGAGCTGGAGGCTCTGCCTTCTCCTCCACCTGACCAGCAGCGGCAGCATCGTGACATTCCTTGGGACGAACTTTTCCCGCCGACAAAGTCGGCGCACCGACGCTACATAGTAGAGACCGTCCTGCCCCAGCTGGTTCCTTTTCTCCGCGACGCAACTCACGCGCGCAAGAGCCCGCGTGAGTTAGCAAACCTTGCAGTTGACGAAGTTGACCGCACGGGGAAGCGTCAATGGGGCGCCTACGAGCTTTACAGCCGGCGGCGGACGGTTGTAGACGCCGTGCTGTCACAGTACTATGATGTACTTCACGAGCATTTGCAGAAGTGCGTGTGACAATAAATGTTCCTGAGCGGGGCCGCCATCTTGATTGGAATTGGAACACCACTAAGGTTGGATCTTTACCACCCAGACGCTCCCAACTTATGTTTCGGGGCCTCAAGCCCTCGCGGGCCCTCGCGGGCCCTCGCTATCCAACGGCTATCCGACGCCGTGCCCTCGTAGACCCTCAGTTTTAGGGGCCCAATTAACCGACGGTTTATCCGACGGCTATCCAACAGTTATCCAACGTGAGCAGGGTTGTGGAATCAAGGGGTTTATTCCCACTTCTGTGATACAAGGGAATCTCCCCCTTTATATGGGGTGTTAGTCTTTGGGAAAAGCCCTCGCGGGCCCTCGCGGGCCCTCGCTATCCAACGGCTATCCGACGCCGTGCCCTCGTAGACCCTCAGTTTTAGGGGCCCAATTATATCCAACAGTTATCCAACGTGAGCAGGGTTGTGGAATCAAGGGGTTTAATCCCACTTCTGTGATACAAGGGAATCTCCCCCTTTATATGGGGTGTTAGTCTTTGGGAAGCCCTTTTTGTTGTATCACAGAAGTGGTCATTTCCCACAACCCTGAACGTGAGGGCGAGGGCCCCTTATCTGATAAGTTTTCAGGTGGGTAGAGTTGAAACCTTTTTTGGAGGGAAACCTAGGTTTTGTTCGAGGCGAACTCACCAAGATTTGCTCTTGTTGCAGAGGGGTGTCACGAGTAACCGAACCATGTTGACGTGAACATTGTCGCATTAGCCGTTTTCTTTTGCTCCCGCCCGTGCGCAGGACGAAGGCTGGTGTCTGCCATCCTCGGCCAGCACTCCCGAGGCATCGGTTTTCCGGGTGACATGTTGAAGCTTCGTCACTTTCTAGGTGTTTTTGGCGGTTTGCGGGCTAGATTTGACAGATTGCGGAGCGTGTTGCTTGCCCACACTCCAGCATGCGGTTTTGATTTAGTTTTGACCCACAGATATAATTATGGGGTTTGCGGATTGCACGGATTACGGGTTCCAGAAATTAAGCGGATTACAGATTGGGATGTGGCTACCGGGATTTCAAATTTCGACCTGCGACAGGTGGGCTTCCGCCACCCCATGCGCTCGCCGCGCACACCTGAGCCTGAGGGACCACGTCGCAAGGCGTCACTCGAGACTCGTCGGGTGTTGCGGTTGTCGGTTGCCCACGTGAGGCGTCCCTGGCGCCCTTTTCGCCTTCTCCAAGAACCCCGGCCGGCCCACCGCCGCGAACGCCGCCAGAGGCCTCACTTCTGTTGTAGCGTCGCTGCCAACTTGTCATTGTGCCAGGTTGTGCCACGCACACCAGATGCCATCCGGTACGGGGCCGTTCTTCCATCACCTACCACACCGCCTGAGGCAGGCATCCATTCACCTGTACTTAGTTTCTCTATGAACTTGGCAGGCCTTTTTGACGATGCCACGCGTTCCACGTGCCGAGCATCGAGGCGCGTTCGGACTGGCGCGGCATCTCTCTCACTAGAACTTTTGGCAGGGCGATCCAGAAGCCACCGAGAAGCTGCATCATCATCAGAGGCGCCGCAACCAGTTGTTTTGTTTCCTTCCGGCTGCCGCGCTTGCGCAGGCTGCTGCGCCACGGAGATCATCCAGGTTCCGGCCGCAAACCCCGACTTCGCCGGCCTCGCCGCATGACGCCCCAAGCGACCCAGAAAGCTTGTGAGGGCCTTTTTGTGCAATGAGTTTTGGGATCATCCCTTTTGGGTTGAACCGGAATTCGCCCGCGATAGCGGGCTTTTGAGTTGTGGGATCATGTTTGGGTCCTCTCGGAATTCGCCCGCGATAGCTGGGCGTTCGATGTGTCCGTTTGAGTGGAATCGGGATCGAATGGTCCCTCAACCGCTCCACCGATTTGCGTGTTTGGAGTGAAATATTCAGGTGCGCGTTTGTGGGTTGTCCGTCTTGGTGCTCGAGCGGTGCCTCAATCAGCTCACTCATTGTCAGGCTCATCAGCTTCGCTTGGTAGGTGCGCACATTGTTGGTCTAACCCAGCAGCGTTGACTCAGACGACCCCACATCATGTCACGGACCAATCCCCTTTTTGAGTGAGCAATGGATGAAACACCTCCCCGCGCCGCTGTGTCGTCCGACGATTTGACACCGAACCATGCCTCCTGGTCGAGCCGCATTGCGTCGCGCTTTGTGGGCTTACAGCCAGCGGCGTTGCGCTTCAGCGTGCGGTCTGAGTTTTCCGGGGCCATGACCCCGGAGTTTGCTTTGAGATCCATTTGCAGAGATTACAATAAAGGGGCAGGGCGCAGCATCGCAACAACTTTTGAGTCAATGGGTGATTGGTCTACCAGCTCTCGTGCTCTTTCACGACTGAACTCACCGTCCGTGTGCAGATTTGGGGATATCATGAACCTGGCTGCAGAGCCGTTGAGACGACAGCTTCAGGAACCAAAAACTGACGAGGCAGGTTTCCTGGAACGGTCAGGGAAACAAAAGGGCTTGGCTTCGGACATTCAATCCACGAGGGTGACATGCACAGTGTACAATGTCACATCCATGTACGTTTCACCCAAATTTGCGCGGTGTCTTCAACTGTCGTTTGTTCTGGCTAGGCATTGATCGCCCACACGGACCTGGTGAATACGGAGTTGGAGACACTCTTCACGAAGACAGGCCGGATACGCGACTTGATCTTTGATTGACCGTCCCACCCAACCTGTTTGCTGTGAGGGCAGTTCACCAAGCGCCTGGGTGACATACCGAAATCGGCGGTGCCAGTCGACATGAAGGAGTGCGTTCGGCAATTGCAGGCCTGAGAGAGACACTCCTGATGGATCTTTCTTCTGGTCGCTCGATCCAGGTCATTGCCAATGACAAGACTGCTCCATCGCAGAGAGTGAGGTTCACACGAAAGTCCGGCGCCACAGTGGGCCAGAAAGGGGGGGGGTTCAGGGTCCCAAACGGACCCAATTTCTTTTGTGACGGATTGCAGATGATTGCAGATCATAGTGGACCGTATTGTAGAATTTCATCAGGTTTTGAGCCATGCTTTGCATTGTGGATTGTGGGTGCAGACTATTGCCAAACCAAACAACAATTGCAGATTGTGGGTATGACCCAATGGATTTCGTTCAGGCAGGAGTGTAGATCGCCGGCCAACGTGCTCTTGAACTCATCAACAAGATGCACATACAAACAGTTTGTATGGGCGGGTGTGCACATACAAACATTTGACTGCACATACAAACAGTTTGTGTTTGCAGTGTTTCAGGGGTTGCACATACAAACCAGTTTGTATGTGCGTTCCAGTTTGTATGGAGTTTGTATGGGCACCACAGACTACATACAAACCCAGAAACCACATACAAACTACATACAAACTTTGACTACTAATTTAGTAGCGCACATACAAACTACATACAAACAACATTTGCACATACAAACTACATACAAACTTGCACGAAAGTTTGTATGTGCAACACTGTGCCCATACAAACTAGTTTGTATGGGCAACCTCTCAAAAGCTGCCCACACAAACTGTTTGTATGGGCAACTCTGCCCATACAAACTGTTTGTATGAGCAACTCTGCCCATACAAACTGTTTGTGTGAGCGACTTTACCCCCCACACAAACCGCTTGTACACACATTAGTGTTGACCATTTCGACGTGTAGGTGCCACTTGGCTAAATAAGGGAGGGAACAACTGTAGGTGATGACACGTTGGGCCCGACTACATTTTTTTCGCAGGGTCAAGAGTTGCAGCTTACAAGTGGAGGCTGCCAATGACTATTGACTGTAAGTTTGCACAAGATCTTGGGTTTCGTTTGTTTGCAGACGCTTTGATGCAGTTGCTTGGGTCGTGCTTTTCAATTACACTCGGATGTGCACTGGTTGTGACAGATGCAGAAACATTTGGATTCTCCAGGTCTGCCTCTACAGCCTTGTCAATCCCCTTGTCAACGTGCCGTGTTCTTGCAAACTCTTTTGGGTATATGTAATTATTGCACCCTTTCGCCACGAGCAGGTGTACCTTTGACGGTTGCTTTTTGGAGGATTGTACTCAGTCCACATGCCCCTCGCCCCTTTTTGGGCTCTCGGGTTTTTATGGCAACGCCAAGGCGTACCTTTGATGAGTTGGTGTCTGACACGGGCATCTTCTCTGACTCAGTTAGACTGGAGGAGCACGACAGGCCCGTCCACTGTCCACCTTGCTTTGCGTCGTTGCACTGTCTTGCGCGTTGTGCAGGTGCGAGCGATGCAACAAACAATGCCGTCGGCTGTTTGTCCCCCACACGGACTTAGCAAATGCGGAGACACCGCTTCAAATAGCAGTGGCCGGGTCATGTTGCACTGAGCCTTGTCTGTTGATAGTGGTCACTGAGTTCATGGAGTCATTCACAGGTTCGCAAGTGACGTATTGGCTCAGGACTACTCGCCCTTCGGGCAGCTTCGCCGACTTTCCGGGCCCACCGTACCATTCTTAATCCTGTTGATCAAGTCGGTGCTTCAAGCCCGACCGGACTACTTCATTCACGAGAACGTTCTTCAATTCCCCTTGGAGTTGTTGATTGACAACCTTTCAGGTGGGGGGCCAAGATCAATTTCCAACTTGACACACCATGGCCCATAGCGTTGGATCTGATGCTGAAGCGTTGCTGAGGTTTTTACACGGCGTCGTTCAGTGAGATCAATCCGTATACGACCTGCGGTGTGCCTGTGCAGCGTCGCCGTGGCTATGTCCTCTTCACTCGGAAGGACCGCGTCAGGCGAGCTCTTTCAATCGGCAACCACCCAGTTTTCAGAGTTGTTTCTTCTGGATCGTGTGATCGTTAAGTTGGCGCCACCCCGAGTGGCTTGGATCTTGGATTCCCTTTCAGGCAGACCTTGGAGCTCGAAGGCGTTGTCAACCGCTTGACGCTGCCAGTGACCGACACAACCATGGACGTGTTCTTGTTCTACAAGGGATGCATGGATGTCATTGCGCCCCTTTCGGATGGACAGCGTGCTAGTGCCTTGCAGAAACACACGCACGTGTGGCTTACCCTGTCTTTTTCACATCCGCATTTTCCACCAGCGAGGCATGTCTCAATCTCACCTGTCCACGCAAGGACTGCAGAAGTACTTGGAGACCCACTCGGATCGGCTGTGCGTGGATCTCAATCAGAACCCAGAGAAACGGCCCCGACATAGCGGTGTGGCGGGATCATTGCATACAGTCACCACTGGATGCAGTAGATTGTGGTCAATGTCAGCCAAGCGGGTCATACATGGGATCGAGCTTCTACATGCTCATGGGTTTGAGCTTGACGGACCGCTTGCTCTCCAGACAGGAGACCTCAGTTGCTGGGACGTGTTTATCTTATCGCTTGTTCATATCTGTTTTGACCAACCGCATGGTCTCTTTTGGTTGTGTATCTCCAGTTGCGTTTCTACCAAAACTCTTTCCCGAGGCCACTCGGCGCTTTGCAAGCTGGCTGGAAACTCGATGCATGCGGCTGCCATTGGGCGTGTCCTCATCAGTGCCATTTTCTTCTGCACGCGTGTCAACCATGCTGGCGCAGACATGTGACTTTGTACAGGGCTGATTCTGTGAACACAGAGACAACCGACCTCTTGCATTGCAGAGTAAAGAATCAACGCTCGTCCATGAGTCCTTGCGTGGCCACACGTCACACAGATTGACATTGTGACATTTGATCTTGCTGTGTCCGTGTGTCGCTTCATCTCAAGACACCATTTTTGGTCTTGTGCCGTTTTTTTTGTGCCCATTGTGTTTTATCGTCATGGAGGAGGAGCTGGCGTTGGTGTTGTGGCAGCCACCTGAGCTGCCGAAGACGCAGCCGCCTGCGCCTGCGCCGCAGCCTGTTGATGAGACGGGCAAGGGCAAGGGCGCCAACAAGCGGCGCAAACGTGGCACTCATGCTGCCAACGGTAGCGCTGATGATGATGATGGTGGCGGTGCTGACCCCACTGACGCAGAAGCTAAGGTTTCATGTATAGACTGCGCTGAGGACCACCGCTACGGAGACACTTGCAGCACTGGTGGCTCTAGATGTACATCCCGGCGTTGCAAGCAGTGTCACAACGCCCGCAGGGCAGTGCATTCGTGGTACAGCAAGGCGAACCGCCTGGATGAATGGTCCAAGCTGAGTGTGGACGAGAAGAGGCAGCTCACAGTTGCCAACCGGGGCAAGGGCGGCACCAAGGGTCGCCGACGGGAAGTCGTTGGATCCGAAGCTGTCGCATGCACTGACAGCGTGGGTCTTCGTCACGAGGCCCCTTTCCTCACCAAGCTGCAGCCTGATGCCCAGTTGCCACCTTCAGCGCTTGATTCCAACTCTATTATAGCTCTCACCACCTTTGACACTCAAAGACATCGGTCCAATTTTTGGGATAGTTCCCCCACCCACCAAGACGTTAGTTACGCTGTGGCCCAGGTTTTTCGCCACTCTCAAGGAGCGCTACACGTGGGCCACGGATGAATCCTGTGAGCAGGAGTGGACTCGTGTGCAGGGGAACAGTGCCGCAATTTGGCGGCGTGACGAATTTGGAGAGCAAACGGTGTCCTTGCTCAAGACCGCCACAGCGACTTCGGGCAGACAGCTCGACCACAAGAAGGACTCCGAGTGAGCTTGTTTTTTTTCAACCCGTGGCTGTAGCCAGCGTGTACGTGTAACATCCTCCTTTGCTCCATATGGTGTGACAAGTTTTTTGTGAGGTCGAGCGCATGTTTGCATCTTGTTGCGTTTTTGGTAGGAGATGAGCAGGGCTGATGTGCATGACGCTGAGCAGAATCCTGATGAGGTATTCAGAGGTCGCTTGTCTTTGCAACCTCTGGAGTTCGACGGGTTTGATTGATTATAGCCCTGTATGCTATTTGCAATGCACATGAATGTCAATTGCTTTGCGATGTGGTACTTCAGTGTCAACTGCTTGACGAGTGCAATGTGCGGCGGCTCCCAAGGCTTGCTGGCCAACAGCAGCTTGCACGCTGAGTCACGTGTGTTCGACATGTCCAGCGCCTCGCCTTGAAACTGCCGTGTTGCCGTAGTTCACTGGTTGTGCGGTCAAGGTTGTTGGCAAACTGTGTGTGTGTACTGACTCACTGCCAAGGCCTTAACAACTTTTCGAGTATGCCGCTTCTTCCTGGAGCTGAAGCGCCAGTGGCTTTGTCTTCGGCGCAGGTCAAGCGCAAGGCGGTCAAAGCAAAAGCGAAGCCCAAGGGTAAGGTCCAGGGGGCTGACAATTGGGCGGGGTCCGCTTCTGGAAGCTCCAAGCGAGATCGAGATGACGAATTGCTCCAACTTGACCTGAAAAGAGAACAGATCAAAACCTTCCAGCGGGCCGTCTCTCAGTTGCGTTTTCCTTGGCTGTTGCACTTTGGCTTTTCTTCTCAAATGTTCAATCCAATTTGTTTGGACCAGTCGGTTTTCACATTGTCAGCTCGGCCCAGTCTCAGGAAGATATCGTTGCGGAGCACACTCAGTTGGCGCAGGATGCGCTCACATGCGGGGGCTCAATGGCGCCAGAACACGCTCAACTGGTAAAACAGCGGCTGTCAGCCTTGAAGTTGTTCGCAGACCGCTCGTTGCCACAAGGCGGTGACGCGGCGCACCGGCTAGAGCTTTCACCTGCCAGCCTTCAGCTTCGCAAAGCCGCGCTCGTGACGACTCTTAGTTGCCGAAAGCAAAACTTTTTGCTCGACGTGTTCAATTGTGAACCAGTTAACTCCAGTTTCTTTCTGGGCAAGACAGGGATGGTGTGCTGAGCCGCGACACTTTCAAATGCTACAACAAGCGCCTGGCCAAATATGCGGGCGGTTTGGAGGCTGCGTGCAACCGCTTGCATCAGGTGCAAGAGGAGGAGTGTGCCTCATCTGAGTGAAACATTTTGTTATCAGTTCCTAGTTCCTTTATCAGTTGTTTTGATATTTGCGACCACGCTACGCCATCTTAGGGAACCGAGAGGCTGACAAGAAGCCACAGCGGAAAAGACGCAATCGCCCTGCGCCTGAGCCTGAGCAGCCCGGAGGCACGTGGCGACGCGGGCTTGGCCAGTGACACTATCCACCCCGAGCTGGATCACATGCCGGCCTACGCCATCCTTAGCCACATTGCGTGCCAGAGCGGCCAGTTTGGCGGAGCGGTGGTGGGCGCTTTTCCTCAGACTGAGGACGCGGTGCCATGCGCCTACGTGACGCAGCTCCCCGATGTGAATCGGATTGACCTACCTTGGCGGAGAGATGCCATCATGGATGAGCTGCAGGATGACCCCGTCCGGGTGGCACGCATGCGGCGTGACTTAGACATTCCGCAGTTCAGCCAGGCTGGGCGGATCATTTTGAAATCCTTGGCAGTTGAAGTTGCTACTGTCAACCTTTGTGTGACCTATCGAGCGTCACTGTTGACGGCCTTACCCATCCCCATTGCCCGTTGTCTCACCCACCGTCCTCTTCGTGTTTACACACTGCGCGCAGGCTTTCCCTCACGCAGATGACGCAGCTTTGGAGAAGCTCTTCTATGGTTCCGCAGTGGTCCGGGACAACATAGGTGCGTTCCTTGACGTGGACGCGCTTAAGAAGCAACTCGCCTCCCATTTTTCATATTGCTCGTTTGGACGTGTGTTGCGCGTCGTCTGGCAAAACCACATTTGAAAATAGACAGTCCTGACAACACACATGTCTATTGTCCTCACAACTCCCAACCCATCCAGCTTGCATTCCACTAGTCAGCTGAGACGCGGTGTTCTGAGGCATTTGAGCATGAAGATCCTCTACTACAAGAAGGAGCACGCGTTCAACGGCGTGACGGATCTCTTGGCGCCCATAGCGCACGTGCAGCTGACGGGCAGGAAGCTGTTGCTGGGGGCCCCTCTGGCAAGCATCATCGCAGCCTTCACTGTCAGCGAGTCCAACACTGGGGTTGCCATGACGGTGGCCAATTTGGTCAAACATATGGTTGGCATGACTGCGAAGGACTTTGTTTCGGCAGGTGGGTTTTGGGTGATCTTAAACCCAGGGTCACTTGCAGTGACACCCAGCAGTTGCCTCATCATGGAGCACCTCAGCTCCACCTAGACTACGATTTGTTTGTTTTTTGGATCGTGCTACACGGGGACACGTGTCTAAGTCAACAAACTTAATTTCCCAGGTATGGCGTTGACGATATGGGGAGCACTCTTTCATGGCCGGCGTTCATGCGTGGCCACTGCGACCCTTCGGAGATCGCAACTGTGCGCGCTGACATCTCGCAGCTGCTGCAGAACTGCTGCCACGCAACTGACAAGCTCAGCGAGACCCACTTCACGGCGGGGATGCCCGGCGCGGACGTATGTTTCACTTTCTTAGCACGCGCGCCCCTACATTTCACAATTCTGAAAACACAACTGGGTTGCTCAAAACAGTAGGCCTTAATTTTCTCCATGCTTTTGGGAAGCTCAAGCCAAGGAACCAAACAACACAGACCAAACAACACACGGACAAGGAGTTGTTTCTTGAACGATTGTGTCCGGTCATTGTCCTGTCTTGGTGAAGGGTGGTTTGAGCTTTGCGCTGGTGTTGCTGGTGATGTTTCACAAGATGTCCTTCAATTGTTTTCAAGATGTCCTTTCAAGATGTCCTTCAATTGTTTTCCTCCTTCCTGCAATCCTTCGGCAAAATCAGGCAGATGATGGTTCCAATTTCAAAGATGCAACCAAAGAGTAGAGTGAAATACTCTCCCTGTTTGGGACTGGTGGCGGACCAAACGACACACGGACAAGGAGTTGTTTCTTGAACGATGGTATCCGGTCATTGTCCTGTCTTGGTGAAGGGTGGTTTGAGCTTTGCGCTGGTGTTGCTGGTGATGTTTCACAAGATGTCCTTCAATTGTTTTCAAGATGTCCTTTCAAGATGTCCTTCAATTGTTTTCCTCCTTCCTGCAATCCTTCGGCAAAATCAGGCAGATGATGGTTCCAATTTCAAAGATGCAACCAAAGAGTAGAGTGAGATGCTCTCCCTGTTTGGGACTGCACGCCTGCAAGGTGGCGGACAGGTTCTACGTCTGCGTGACGGAGCTCGCTTCGGCTTCAAACGTGAAAACCGAGCAGGCGCAGGTCCTGATGCGTTGCAAAGAGCAAGATCCTCCTACGCCAATGCGAGGAGGCTGGAGTTTGGTCAGGGTGACGTTGGACATGATGCGAAACATGTTGTTTTATCTTGGTCAACTGGGCTTAGTGTCAGTGCAACTCGCCACGTGTGTCAACCCTGCCAGATCACGCTGGTCAGATCGCCCATCAGCCTTCGCCGGGAACCGCGCCAGCCAGCGCCTCTCAGCACCCTGCCACACAGCAGCCTCCTACACAGCCGCAGCTTTCTGAGCCGCCCCAGCAAGAGCAGACCAAGCCACCAACGCCACCCCCTGCCCCTGCAGCGCGCCAGGCCCAGCACCCTCCGCCAGACGAGTTGCTTGCTCCCCGAGAGCCCCAGCCCCAGCAGCCCCAGACCAAGCCACCGCTGCCGCCGGACGAGTTGCTTGATCAGCAGCCCCTGCCAGAGCTTGCTCTTCGAGAGCCCCAGCGTTCTGAGCCTGAGCCCACGCAGGGAGAGCTTGCTCTTCAAGAGCCCCAGCGTTCTGAGCCTGAGCCCGCGCAGGCAGAGCTTGCTCTTCGAGAGCCCCAGCGTTCTGAGCCTAAGCCCCCGCAGGCAGAGCTCTTCAAGAGCCCCAGCGTTCTGGGCCTGCCAGAGCTTGCTCTTCGAGAGCCCCAGCGTTCTGAGCCTGAGCCCACGCAGGGAGAGCTTGCTCTTCAAGAGTCCCAGCGTTCTGAGCCTGAGCCCGCGCAGGCAGAGCTTGCTCTTCGAGAGCCCCAGCGTTCTGAGCCTAAGCCCCCGCAGGCAGAGCTTGCTCTTCAAGAGCCCCAGCGTTCTGGGCCTGAGCCGCCCCAGCCAGAGCTTGCTCTTCGAGAGCCCCAGCGTTCTGAGCCTGAGCCCACGCAGGGAGAGCTTGCTCTTCAAGAGTCCCAGCGTTCTGAGCCTGAGCCCGCGCAGGCAGAGCTTGCTCTTCGAGAGCCCCAGCGTTCTGAGCCTAAGCCCCCGCAGGCAGAGCTTGCTCTTCAAGAGCCCCAGCGTTCTGGGCCTGAGCCGCCCCAGCCAGAGCTTGCTCTTCGAGAGCCCCAGCGTTCTGAGCCTGAGCCGCCCCAGCCAGAGCTTGCTCTTCGAGAGCCCCAGCGTTCTGAGCCTGAGCCGCCCCAGCAGCCCCCTGCGCATGCACCGCCCGACGTGACACAGCGCGTGAAAGCTGAGTCGCCCCACAAGCAGACGCCTTCTGTCGCTGCAGGGATCGATGAGGTGGTTGACATCCCCAGCAGCCCTGAGCCAACGCCAGCGCCAGCTGGCAGCAGCAGCAGCAGCAGCAGCAGCGAACCCTCGCAAAAGCCTCGTGCCAAGTCGAAAGCGAAAGCAAAAGCCAAATCAAAGGCCAAGGCAACAGCCAAGGCCAAAGCGAAACCCAAGGCGATCCGAGGCAAACGCAGCGCAACTTCTCCTGTGTCAGCCACTCGCAGGATTAGAGGCAAACGTGCTGCCAACACCATCGCGCCGGACGACAACGAAGATGAGACCCTTGCTGAGGCATTGGGGCGGCCGGGGCGGCAGCCGATTTTCGGCTACGAAGCTCGTTATTAGGGGGTTCGGGGGCCGGGGGGTTGGGGCTTGATATCCCTGAAATGACCCCCGTCAAATTTCAAAGGTGTGAATCCACTCCCACACTCAACCTCCAATCAAAGGGCACTCAAGCAAATGATCGAATCCTCCAATCAAAGATTTTTTGGTAGTTGAAACAAAGCGGTGATCAGGCTCGCAGCCACGATGTTACAAATTGAGATAACTCGGCAAAATAACCAGAGCCACCAAACCCCCCCCCCCCAAAACCCTAAACCATAAACCCATTTTTTGGGTGGTCGAAACCAAAGAAAACAGCCTGTGAGCTGGGACTGCTGTGAGCCAAGGACAGCCGACCCCTCTCGCAATCCGCACTGAGTGACGATCGGTACAAGAGCTTTTGGAGGAACCCTTGATTGGCGTGCTCAGCATGCCCCTTGTGTTAACAGCGTTAAGTTCACCCCATTTCAGTCGATGTCCAAAGCCGCCAATCAAATTCCGCTGGGTTGCTTGTGGTTTAGCGGCCTTGCCGTGCCATTCAGATGAATGGCGCACGGTGACATTGAAATTGGTGGTGAAAAAAAGGCGCAACACGTGCTGCAACACGTGCTTTGACGTGGAGGTCAGTGGTTTGGAGTTTGGAGCGGGTTCCCCAAAAATAGACTACCAGAGAAAAAGTTGGTACCTTCTGACCTTTGAAACCTGGCACTTTGTGCTGGCAGACAAGCATCTCTGGTGACAGGGGTCCGTTCTTTTGGCAACCCCACTCTGTCCGCCACGCAAGGGACCATTTGTTTGTGGCCAGATGTGTATGGAATGTTTGTTGGCCAGATGTGTATGGAAGAGGAACGTCCTGATTGTTTTTTTTGTTGCGTGATCCGCGGTTTGGTATGTCCAATTGGATGCGCGATGAAGCTGAGAGATGACTACCCCTACTCCAAATACCCACTCATTTCCCAATTGAGGGGCATTTCTAGGGGTTGATTCCGAATTCTTTTCAATCTGAGCAACCAAATGCATCTTTTTGGCAACCCCACTCTGTCCGCCATGTGCGGGACCATTTGTTTGTGGCCGCGACCCCCCAGTCTTTTCAATCTGAGCAACCAGATGCACCTTTTGGCAACCTCACTGTAAGGGACCATTTGTTTGTGGCCAGATGTGTATGGAAGAGGAACGTCCTGATGTTGTGTGATCCGCCGTTTTGGTATGTCCAATCTGCTGCTTGGATGCGCAATGAAGCCAGAACAGTCTTGAGAGATGACTACCCCTACTCCAAATACCCACTTATTTCCCAATTGAGGGGCATTTCTAGGGTTTGATTCCCCATTCTTTTCAATCTGAGCAACCAGATGCACAGGTACACCCTAATAACATGATATGTTTGACAAATTCTGCCCACACGCTGAATTTCAACGCTTGCGAAAACGCGTGGTCAAGTTACAAGGAGACCCGTAGCTCGCCGGAATCAATAGGCCGACATGGTCAGTGGCGGAAAGGTCGGAGAGCGCAACATGAGCAGGAAGGCTAAGCAAGAAAGAACAAATTGATTTGCGTGTTGACTTGGCTTGCGAAGCGTTGTCTCTCCCGGCCAAGATTGAAGTAGCTTGTCTTGGATTTGTGAACCCCGTCGATCCATTTTTCAAGCGCTCGAGCCGTTGCTGAGACAGCTACCCAAGCAAACATGGCCCCTCGCGCGTGCCTCGGCTCTGTCGCGAACGCAGAGGGCGAGGCGGCGGACCCTTGCGTCTTCAATGGGAACGGAACAGGGCGCCCGGCGCGCGCGCTGAATCACGGGCGCTGCGTGTGGTGTTGCCCAGAGGAAATGAACCGACGCCTGGCAAGCCCAAAGCTCGAGAAGTTTCTCATCTACACGCTCGTCAACTTCAAGGGCGCGGACGGGGAAGTGTTCGAGAAGGCGACGAGGCGGCTGCCAGAACAGCGCCGGGCGGACATCTTAGCGGAGGTCGACGCGCGGCTGGTGCCCGAAGAAGAAGACGTGGAAATGGCGCCAGCGGCGGAAGAGGCGGAAGGCGAGAGCGAAGAAGAGGAGACGCAGGGGCGGAGCCCTGAGCGCTTTGCAGAACTAGGCCTTGTTGCAGATGACCCGGGCGAGGAGGAGGGTCAGCTGGACATCGACGCGGCTGACGCTGGTGAGGTGGGCTACGGCTACAACGACATTCTGGACAAGGAGCCGCCGTTTGAGCCCCTGGAGCTGGACGACAAGCAGGAAGAAGAGAACGAGAAGACTCAGGCGGAGGCGGAGGCTGCCCCCAAGAAGAGGCGGCTGCGAGGCAAACAAGCAGCTCCCGTCTACGGGCCTGCGGCGCCGTTACCCCCAGCGGCCGCGGCAGCCGGGGTTGCGGCGCTTGCTGGCCAAAGGCGCCGAACGCGCCCGCCGCGCCCGAACGAGATTTGCCCCGGTCGAAACGGAGAGCCTTGCTCCTGGTCGTCCACGCAACTGGGCGAGCCCGCCGGCCTCCACACGAATCGAGGGCAAACTGCTTGCGCTTTCTGCGGCGACGAGCAACTCAACAAGGTCCTGGCCCAACAGAATGGCTTTCAATTGACTAAGACCCTCAAGGCGCTGCGGGAGCTCCACGAAGTCAAGTACGAGGCGGCGCTCGAGAACTTGAAGAGCCGGAAGGGCGAAGCCTTTGCGGCGGACTTTGGAGAGCGAGTGGATTTCGCCATCTATCGCGCCGTAGAGCAAGCGCGAGCGCCCGCACGGAGAATTGCGGAGCGCTGGGAGGGCCTGCTGCAGCGCCGCGCCCGAATCCAGGGCCCGCTCAAAGCCGACGCCTTGGAGACCTACGAGCAAGGGGTTCGACGAGACCGGATGATGATCCAACGGAAGATCTTCGCCCGCGACCAGATGAGGAAACGCTACAACAGGGCGAACGAGGAGGCGGAGCTTGCCCGGATGCCTCTGCCGCCCACAGACATCGCGCCCAATGATTGCGGACTCCCGGGCCCGACCTCCTTTGCCGGCGCGGCGTATACGTTCCTCAGCCGGAAGATGTGCCGGAGCCGGTGCGCAATCTGCCGAACGAAGTGTTGGCGGCGCTTCGCCCGCTGGAAGTGGATAGCGGCCGCTACGAGAAGGCGGAGCACGGCTACCGAGTCCACACAACTATGGTGCGCTTTGCGTGGGCGGCTGAGAGCGTCGGCGCCAAGATCCGGGCACTGCGAACGCACGAGTTGCGCAGCAAGGCCCGGAATGCTTTTTGGTTCCTCGCGCAGTCGGACGACAGCGCCTACGGCGAATTTATCGACAAGCACGAGGAATTCCTGGAAAGGCACCCGTGCGCGCCGGAACACGTTCGCAAGAGGCCTCTGCGGTTCATCGAGGAGCAAGGCCTTGAAAACGCCGTCTGGCCACATCTGTACTGGCACAAGAACCTTTGTGAGACGGTTGTTCGCGCCACAGACGAGCGGCGCCGCGTCCGGACGGGCCTTTCAGATGAGGAAGCGTCAGAGGGCGATGAGCTGGAAGATGGGCCGGCGCTTGCAAAGGGTCGACACAGCGTCCGACGCAGCTGGATGACGAAAGTCTTCAGCCCAGTTGTTGGCTACTCAGAGGACTTCCAGCTGCTCCACTTTGTGTACGACTTGGTCCTGTGGACGAACCTTGGCGGCTGCAAGAACGCAACCCGCGGCATGCCCCTTCGCTTGGCCGTCAAGGGCTCGCCCATCTTCCCAGAGTACTGGCGGGTCCGACACCAGGCCTTGATCGACATGCAACGGCAGGCTGGGGCGCCGGCGCTTTTTCGGACACGCGCGCCTTACGAGCGGTCCTTCCCCTATCATCACTGGGTCCTCCACGAGATGGCGCTGGCCGGCCGCGCCCGCTTGAACCTTGCGGGCCCGGAGACCCTCCATATGGCCCACGTCTTGAAGGAGATGGATCGTGGCTTCTTTGCGGGGAAGAACCACAAGGGCTGGAGAAACCACTTGCTCGGGGCGGAGCACGAGGCGGGAGACGGTGAGGAACACCCCAACACAGTCGTCAACTTCTGTTCTCGATTGGAGTTTCAAGACGGCAAGCGCAAGCCAAAGGGTCAGCAATATCACGGGCGAGGAACTGTCCACTCCCACTCCTTGGACTTCCTCGAGAACACGGCGGCCATCAAGCTGGAGACCAAGATCGCTGCCGTGGAGCCAGGGGCGGACGAGCCGTTGTTGCGAGGGGTTGTCCTAGATTCGCAGCGGGACCGATCCCGCAGCCAGGTTGCCATCCGCGACGAGCCGTCGATCTGGGATGAGGAGGCCGGCCGGGTCCGCTTGCAGCACAAAGCGTCCGACTTTGACAAGCATATCCGGGCCTACTTTCGGGAGTCAACGGAGGTCACCAAGTGCCACGAAGACGTGCAGATGGCCGATGGCAGGCACAACCTGCTCCGCTACGTGGCCACCTACGCCCCAAAGTTTAGCGGCTCCTTTGCAAAGGATTGGCTGAACGATGACGCCTCAGACTACAGCGTCGCCCGGCGAGTAGCGTTTGATTATCACCCCCTGGAGCCTGAGATGTGGCTCACCTTGGCCGGGCAACTCTTCCCGCAAATCAGTTACGGGGGGACGCTCAAGCCAATCGTCGCGCCCTACCCTGACATGAAGGACAAGCCG